CGCCATAAGGCGACGCAGAAGGTTCAATGTAACCTTTCTGCAAAAGCTCTGTAACTTGTTTACGCATCTCTTGTTGCTCTAATTGAGTCAACCGGTACGATCGTTTTGCTGGCGGTACGGCTCCGTCGATGAGCGGAATTGTGTGACCAATGTCGCGATCAGGCGGAAGACCGTTAAGCTCTTCAAATACATCTTTGTATTCGTCAAGCAAACCCTTTAAAGTATTGTCAGGAATAAGTTCGGCCATATTTGTGTGTGTGCCTTTGGCCTTTGTTTCCTGTTCCAGCTCAGATTGTACTAACAAAAGATAGCTTCGTGCTCCTTTTGTTATTTTACGTGCCGCTGCTTTAGCCGACATCGTTTCAACTGTCGTCGCCGCATAGAGTGTCGCGGTGACGTAGTTCATGATAGTGATACCATCAAGGTGATCTTCAGCATTATTGTCCGAAGACCAAAAGGAAGACTTGAGCGTCCAACTGTCTGTGGGCGACTTGTGGAGCGTAAGCGTCCGCGTTTGGAAGCACATCCGCGCTTTGCGGCGCACAAGCCAATCCGCGCCAAGTATAAGTTCGACTCCGGCGTTAGCTTGCTTTAGCACGAGCAGTTTGACTGTGTCATGAAAGGATGCTATCCGCAACTTGGCGTGTATCAAGCCCTCAATGAGCTCGGAGGAGCCGTTCGCAACGCGAACCGAAGAAGTTGAACACGGCCGAATAGCGAGCCCCATTTTGCGAGCTGCCTCGGAGGAGATGAATCCATCAGCCGTGCCCTTGCAGTCAGCACCGGAATCGATAAGTGCGCTGCAAGGCGTTTGGCATAAGAATGCGCCAAAAATCATGGACTGTGAGGAGCCAATACTGTTCAGCTGAACCTCTTTAGCTGGCGGGTCATACCAAAGCTGGATAGGCCACGGGATACCGGGCATTTCCTGACGACTACCATCGTCTGCTTTCTCTAAGAACAGTTTCGTCCCTACGGCATATGTTTTTAGCAGCTGGTGTCCTGCCGCTCGCATGCGTCTTTCAATTTGAGACCATTTCGGTACTACAAAAACCGCTGAAGTGGTTTCGGGACGCATACGCTTGCAGCGCAGGTAATGCTTATGCCAAAGCTCAATTTTTGTGTATGGGGGATTTGCCCAGACAAACTC